TCGAATGCTTCTAGTTTTCTCGTTAGCGTCTCCGTCAGCGTCCAGGCCTCCACGCCATACAGCAAGATCGGAAAAATGTAGCATTTAACTATACGTAGTTTTAGGGGAAGAGACAAATCCTTGCTTATGAGGAGCTTTTTCATATTGCTAAATGCTGCTCTAGCTCGTTCTATTCTCGCCTTAATTTCTATGGTCTGTTCCCATTTTGCATTTACGTTGGTGCCAAGGTACACATAAGATTCTACATGGTCAATTAATATGTTACTTATCCGTAATTGTCGAGCAGGTTGTTGCTTTTTGCTTATCAGCATCCACTTTGTCTTCTTGAAGTTGAGGCTCAGGCCGTATTCCTCACTAACTGAATAAAGTCTTTCCATTACTTGTTGTAATTCGTCTATGGTACTGGCAAGGATCACCGTGTCGTCGGCGTATCTTATATTGTTCGTTAACTCGCCGTTTATTTTAATGCCCTCATTTGCATTTTCCATACATTTGTTAAATATTTCCTCGGAATACATATTGAATAGGAGTGGGGATAATATACACCCCTGACGGACACCCCTTTTGATCTGCACGCTTTCAGTGAGTTCGTTGCCAATTTTTGCTCTTGCTGTTTGACCCCAGTATAGGTTTGCCACAATTCGAATGTCCTTGTCGTCAATACCTGTCTTTCGCAGAATACCTATCAATTGTTCATGATTGACATTGTCAAATGCTTTTCTAAAATCTACAAAGCACAGATACACGTCTTTATCAACGTCTCTACACCGTTGTATAAGCACCTGGAGAGCGAAAATTGCTTCTCTAGTTCCAAGTGCTTTCCGAAAACCAAACTGCGATCTATCAATATTTGACTCACATTTATCATATATTCTTCTGTGAATGATCTTAGTGAACGCTTTAGTGACATGATTGATCAAGCTTATGAGCCGGTAGTCATCACAAATCTGGGCATTTGGTTTCTTCGGGATTGTAATAAATGTTGACTGTAGCCAGTTCTCCGGGATTTTACCGCTATTATATATGTTGTTAAAAAGTACAACTAGATTGTCAAGGAACTGTTTGTCTGATTTACATAGGATCTTTAATATTTCGCAGGGTACATTGTCCGGACCTGCTGACTTATTGTTTTTTAGTGCTGCAATGGCATCTTCTATCTCCGATTTAAGAATTGAAGGTCCTGTTTCTCCTTCTCCATATAGGTGATCATCAGTCCTGTTAGATGCAAATAATTTTTCTATGTATGATTTCCATGTTTTTAAGATCGTTGATGGCTCCGAGATAAGATTTCCATCGCTATCTTTTATGCTGTTGGGTGACTTATTGAATTTCCTCTTGTTTGTCATCGATTTTATTTTTTTGTGCATATTGTAACTGTCGTATTTTCGTTCGTATTGTTCTATTTCCCTGCATTCGTTGGAAAACCATTTTTCTTTGGCTTCTCGAATTTTCGTTCTTATGGTTTTGTGGATCTGCTGGTATTTTTCTGCATTTTTATTCTTGAATTTACGTCTTTCATCCATCATATCCATTATCTCATCAGACATCCATTCTTTCTTTTTTCGTCGGTCTCGCTTTAATAGAGTCGCGCATGTTGTTTGGATTGCTTCCCTCGATTTATCCCATCTCTCTATTATGTCCGACGTGTTCTCGTTAATGTCCTTTATTTTCTTTCCTAGTTGTTCTCGTACTTTTATTTCGGTTTCTGGGTTAGTGAGTTTTTTAATATCGATTGTGTTTAAATTAGATCTTTTCTCGAGCCGTTTTACTCTCATGACCATTCTGCATACCAACACATTGTGGTCCGTAGGAACATCGGCACCTGGGTACGTTTTTGATGATTTTATCATGTTTTTATATCTTGTTGGTACTGCTATATAATCTATCTGATTTCTAATGATGTTGTCAGGTGAGTCAGCGGGGGATTTCCATGTGTAAAGTCGACGTTTGGGGAGCTTGAAGAGTGTATTACTTAACAGCAGGTTATATTCCTGGCAGAAGCATATAAGTCTATCACCTCTATCGTTTCTCTCCCCTAGGCCGAAGTTTCCCACGATCTCATTCACCTTGCCTTTGCCAACCTTTGCATTGAAATCTCCCATCACTATTGTTACTTCATGTTTTTTTGTCATTTTCATCAGGCTTCCCAGTTGTTCGTAGAATTCTTCGCTGGTTGCCTCATCTTTATCTGCCGTTGGCGCGTATACCTGTAATATATTAATGTCCACCGGTGTTGCTCGAATTTGTAAAAGCATCATTCTATCTGAATGGGGAGTGAAAGATTTTACTGCCGAATTAATATGTGGGGCAACTACTATTGCATTGCCGTTTCTGTGATGTTTTGTGTTGTTTCCAGTATAGTAAACTTTATATCCAAGTATATCGCATTGTCCAGAGTTTTGCCAGTGTGTTTCACTTATTCCCAATATATCAATTTTTAATCTTTTCATTTCTTTTACAATATTATGGGTTTTGCCGCTCTCGTACATACTTCGTACATTCCAAGTTCCAATCCTTAGGTGTTGAGAACTTGCTTCCTTTTTTAGGCCGTAGGGATTTCGCTGGCTGACGACTAGGGAGGCCCTACTATTTGTTTGTGTGCATCCTCCCCTGCCGGATCTTGGGATCCGATCACCATGATCAGTGATGTTTTTGTTATCGTAGTGTATTGCCATGATAACTATTCTAGGAAATTCTTATGAGGTGGTTTTCCGTTGCCTTCCCCATCGCAGTACCACAACCATTCAAACTGCTCCAGTCATGCTTGTGGTAGTCCAGTTTCAAGCCGATCCAGGATCATTTCCTTTGCGCCTTGAGCTGGTACTGATGATCGCTGCTGCCCTTCATCAGGGTATCACTCGGTAATCACTCGGTGAAATTTTCGCCATATCTGGCTACCCTCACTTCCGTCCATATTTGCACCAATTAGGAGAGTTACTCTTTCTTTACTTAGTTTTCCTCCGTGACATTTTTCATTTTTAAATGCTAGCGTTTTGTCTGGAGTGCATTTAAAAAAGAGACCCGTCTCGTCAACATTAAAGATATCTCTTTCATCTATACCCTGAATCATCTCTTCCAAATTTTTTTCCACTGGTTGGCTTCTTGCTGATTAACGGTCCCACTTTCTCCACAAATGGATTTGAAAGAAATTTTGTTGCGTTTCTTTAAAGCCGTCGAGCCACCCTGTATTCGCCTTAAAATTATTTTTTTCCTATTTCAATAGCAAATTGTTCAGCTTTGCTTCTTATAAAGGGACCACTCACGGGAATCTTCTTATCCCTAGCTTGTTTGAACCATTTTAACACGCAACTGTCTAAATTTGGATTTTCTGGCTCCCTTAACCTTTTTCGATCTTTACCGCACTCACTTTCACTGTTGAGAATTTTTTCTTTATTCTTCAAGTAGGTGGATAATGTGTTAGGAGGAATTCCAAAGTTCCTGGCAATCTCAGATTTTTTTCTTCGTCCCCTTTTCTACTTCTCTAATTGCCGCTTTTTTTTCCGATAGCGTTAAAGTTTTGTATGTTTTCGTATTACCATGCGACGACATCTTTACTCAATACGAAGTGACTTGACGTGATTTGCGGTGATTGCAATTGCAACACCAACGCATCTCAACTGATGGGGCGTGCCAGATGGGCTAGAATTGAGGTGACAGGTACGGGTACAATGTACAATGGCCTTGAAGCAAGTGGCACGTTAGAACAGAAAAAAATACTAGCTCTTTTAGCGGAAATTTCCAGCATGAAATTGTCATTTTTAACTTGTTCGAATTATCCAAAATATAATTCGAATTATCCACGACTTTTTAACATTACTTATATAGGAAATGCTAGGGACCAGAATAAAAATTCGAATTAAAGAAGATTTCGAATTAACGAAGTTCGAATTAAGCAGGTTCTACTGTATTAAAAAACTTGGTAATAAAGAAAAAAAAATGGAATAAATAAAACCATTTACTTAATAAAGGAATAGGGAAAAATGCTTAGAATAGGTCGATGTTAATCACCAGAGTCACCAATATCATCAGTCATACCGTGGGTGATTGTATACTCTATTGTATATACATACGTGATACCCAAATGTATGTATGTACAGCGTTAACAGGCCTTTTAGGCCCATTGCTGGATGGATAATTTTCATCGTTTTCTTTTCTTAGCTAACCGCTTCCAATCTCTGATGCCCATCTCTCTGACAACTTCCATCACTATATCTGTCCATTTCTTTCTTGGTCTTTCTCTCTTTTTTTGCTCTCAGATACTCTCCAACCAATATTCTTGACTAGTCTATCACCTTGCATTCATTCTAGATGATCGAGCCATTCTAGTCTACGTTTTTTCACCACTTTTGTTATTGTAGGGTTAGCATACAAATGATACACTTCTGCATTAGTTCGTCTTCTCCATTCTCCCTCTACTAATTTTCCACCAAATATTCTGCGAAGTATCTTTCTTTCCCATGCTTCCAATGTATTCTGTATGGTTTTGTTCATAGTCCATGTCTCAGCAGTATTGTGGGTCTAATTATAGTTTTGTATACTCATTTTGATCGCAGTTGCCAATGTGAGTAAAATTGTGAAAAATGTTAAGCAAAAAGTAAAATGGTGAGAATGCGCCCAAGTCAAATACAAGCGTTTTACTAAAGACTGTACATTCAAGTTAAAATTGGTCATTTTATCTACAGTTTGCTCAAAAAAATTATGGAAATTCAACTAAAAATAAAATAAAAAACTCAAATTTTGGTTATTGAATATAAAAATATTAAATATTAAGCTCGTGCGTTTATTTTTTTGGGTTACTTTATTGTAAATATGTGTTCTAGTCACTTTTGCCAGCAATTTATTCGCATAAAGAATGTCTACCTAATCGATAATGTGGAGAATATATAGTTTAAAATACGTATAGCCGTTTGAAACTTATAAAACCTATATCTCTACCTGTTTACCCTCTTATAAATCCGTTCGTGCATAATATTACTAATAAATATTAATAAGATGCATACCTTTCAAATTCGGTGAGTCTAGATGAATCCCTAAAACCTTTGGCAAATGGGTTGCTGTCAATCTTCAACTTCGTTATCTGTAATAAAATTAAAATGATAATTGCAGTGATATACAACCTGGTATCTGATTAAAGAAGGTATTTATATTATATTAATAAGTACATAAATTATATAAATGAACTTCTATTTTGACGTATTACAAATCAGTTTTATAAATAAAACAGACAATATCGAATTATGTTGTATGAAATGGTATAAAGATAGAAACATTTTTTCTTCTAAAGGGTAGAAAACTAGAAACTCTCTTTTTTACTTTTTTTTTCCCATAAAATTTTAATATTATAGCCTTATATAATAATATCATAAGTTTTCCTGTATCCGCTTATGCTTTGACTGAATTTATTCGCAACAAGGAAGCAAAGAATGTGGAGTTGCATTTGTGGTGGAAAATGATTTTCTCTGAAAAAACGAAGTTAAAAATCATAGACTTTCAGGCAGTCAGTGGACAGTCAAAGGATATGCAAGTTAAGAATTTGCACCCACTTCTTCAATCTAACAATGATTAAGATTCACTGCTCAACATAAGAACAAGAAGAACATACAAAGGTAAGCTTTTACCAACAGCTGGAGATAGTATATGACAAAGAGGTTTCATATTAAACCTAAAATAAATTATAATGGGCGACATGAATGCTAAAATAGGTAAGAAGCTGCAGTTCTCTGGCATAACAGGAAAATACCCACTGTATAATGAAACAAGGGAGAATGGAGAGTTTTTGATAAATTTTGCTTTTTCTTCTTCTTCATGTACCATGTCCTTTTAGAACGTTGGTTACCATCATAGCTATTTTAATTTTATCCACTGCCACCCTAAATAGCATGCTTGTATCTACACCACGCCAATCTCGCAAGTTCTTCAACCATGAGGTTCTTCTTCGTCCTGGACTGCGTTTGCCTGCTATTTTTCCTTGCATGATATTTTGTAGCAATCTATATTTGGGACCTCTCATTACATGTCCTAAATATTCCAGCTTTCTCTGCTTGATGCTTTTTATGATCTCAGTAGTCTTGCTGAGACGTTCTAGTAATGTGGAGTTACGAATCTTCTCCACCCAGGAAACTTTTAAAATTCTTCTATAGCACCACATTTCGAAAGCCTCCAGGCGATTTAGATCGATTTTATTCACAGTCCAGGACTCGACAGCATAAAGTAAGACCAAGAACACTTAGCAGCGAAGTAGCCGGATTCTTAATGCCAATTTTAGGTCTCTGTTACATAACACCTTGGACATCCTTCTAAAAGCAGCTCTAGCCTGCTCTATTCTGGATCTTATTTCGCCGTGATTTTCTGCATTACAATTTAATTGCTGTCAAAGGTAGACAATTTTATCAACTTGCTCAAGTTTGGTATTATTTACATATATAGACGGTTTTATATTCTGTTGTTTACTTATTACGAGTATTTTGGTTTTCCTTATGTTAAGATCCAGACCTGCCTCCCTACAACTCTCAACGACACTATCAAGTAGTGTCTGCAGATCTTCTTGACTAGAAGGTAGGAGTACTGTATCGTCCGAATATCGCAAATTATTGATGACTTCGCCATTCCCAAGTATTCCTTCTTGTTTTTCAGAAAGTGCTTTTCTGAAAATTCTTTCGGAGTAAACGTTAAAAAGCAAGGGTGACAAGAGGCATCCCTGCCGTACTCCTCTTTTAATATTGATTCCAAACCATCTACTAAAACTGATATTGTTTGATTCCAATATAAATTTGCAATTATTCGAACATCTCTGCCGTCCAAGCCAATGTCTTTTAGAGCTTCGATCAATATAGAGTGCTTAACACGATCAAATGCCTTTTGAAAGTCAATAAAACAACAGTATATGTCTACAGCTATATCACGACATCTTTGAGCAAGTACGTTCATTCCAAACAGTGCCTCTCTCGTTCCAAATCCGTTACGGAAACCAAACTAAGTGTCATCCAGGTAGTCCTCACATTTATTGTAGATACTACCATGTGTTAGCTTCAGAATTCTCAATAAGTGGTTTAACAAACTGATAGTTCTATAATCAGCACAGGTTTTTGCTGTTGTCTTCTTAGGTAGAGCTATAAACAGTGAGTTAGACCAGCCATTAGGTAGTTGTCCGCTGGTATAAATGGTATTGAAAAACGAAGTTATAGCCTCTAAAACATTGCTATCCTATATAAGCTTATATATTTTAGTTGGAATTTTATCAGGACCAGTCGTTCTGCCATCTTTTGATGATTGTATGGCCTTTATAACCTCACAGCGTGTTATTAGAGGTCCGTCGTAGTTAGTAATATCAGGAGGTGAACTACTCCTATCGTCTTCGAATAGGGTCGTGACGTAATTTTCCCATTCTTTAAGTTTGTCCTCTACTTCGAATATTACTTTACCATTTTCATCCTGTAGCAATGCATTTTGTTTCTTATTAAAGATACCAGCCGCTTCTTTTACTTTTTTATATATGTTAAATAAATTTTGCCACCAGTAAAAACATGGTTATAATTTATACATGCCTCTCACATAAAGACATACACAAAATGACATCGATTTCACCAGATGAAACCACAACCAATCGAATTAACCATGTGCTGATAGACAAAAGGGCAGCCAGTAGTATCTTACGTGTGAGAGCACGACGAGGAGCATGCTGTGGATGAGACCGTCTTTTACTCCAAACCAAATTAAGATGCAGACTTAACAAAGAAAGAAACGAGAGACAACAAAGAATAAATTAGACCTGGAAAAACTAAAGATTTAGGAATGTCAAGGGAAGTTTGAAGAAGAAATCGTAAATAAGTTAGGGACACTAGAACTGCACTTCATAGATGACAAATGGAATAATATCAAAACAGCCCCTCACAGCGGCAGCGTTTACTCGGGGAAACAAGAAGAAGACAAAATGTACATAACAAGAAGAAAGACGAACATCATTTGAAATCGCAAGGCGGAAAGCAGACGGAGGATATGTAGAATTAAAAAAATAGCCTATAAAAATAGACAAATAAAAAAAGTGGAAAAAAATTTTAAAAACAACGAAATTAGAGGGGCTTACGACTATCTAAAAAAGATAAAAAAGAGGTATAAACCTCAAACAAGTCAACGTTAAGCTAAAAGTGGCAAATAATCAGTGACCAACAGAAAGTCACAGAAACCTGGCAGCAATATTTTCAGACCCTACTTGGTACACAAGTCGACATGGAAAATGAAATGGGTATGAACTATGTAGAAGAGATTGAAGTAGAAAATGAAGTAGAAGCTTCAACCATAGAGGAAGTTCTCGAAGTTATTAAGGTCCAGAAAAACTATAAAGCACCGGGAATTGATCAAATACCAGCAGAATTGTATAAGGAAGGTGGCGATCACCTAGCCAGTCACATCCATGCGCTCATCAAAGACATATAGCAAAAAGAAAAAATACCCGACGACTGGAAGAAAAGTATAGTATGCATGATCTACAAAAACAACTTTATAAGGAAGCACCACTGTCAGACTTCATTAGAATACAAATATTGCAATGGGCCGTACATGTGATAAGAATGGGAGAGGATAGGCTACTAAAAAGAGCACTGAATGGTAGAATGCAGCGAAAGTCCGTGTTAGGAGTTAGGAGTCCGTGTATGGAGAAGATTAGCCACAGACAAGCAAGGGTGGAGACAAAAAATAAAGGAGGCTAAGGCTCAATTTCGGCTGTAGTGCCGTAGAAGAAGAGGAAGAGGTGTCGCTGTCTGCCTTGATATCGAATCAATTTATCGAAGAATTTTGTTTCTTATTCAGGTGCATCTACTTTTAATTTTTCGGTCATTTAGTTTAGAGTATATTTTTGTCTGCTGATCTTTGAGAAAATTGGTATAAACCCTTGCAATACCTAGTCTGACGATCCAGTTTTCGAAGAAATCTATGATTTGTTCATAGTTTATATATTCGATAATTGTGCCTAATGGTCAAGGCACAATGATCAAAACGGCGAGGCTCTAATAAACTGGAGCAAAGAGGTTGACACTTATTTAGTCTTTGATGCTAAAGATCGGGCAACTTTTTGATCTGCAGCTTGGAAGCGAGAATACAATCCAGACCTATGCTTTGTTTCCACAAATGAAAACAATCAACCACTGGCAGCTTCACGTACAGTATTGCCAGATTTTCCACATAGGCAACATAGACCAGTTGTAATAGAAATTGGCATCAAAATACCAATAATATCATCTTTTCCCCGACCTAGGTGGAACTTTCAAAAAGCAGACTGGGTGACTTTTACTGAAAGATTGGACAAATGTCTGGGATGGATACCCCCAACACGTTCGAACTACATGAGATTTGTTGGCGCGGTTATCTCTACAGCGAAGAAAGCTATACCCAGAGGATATCGTAAAGAGTATGTCCCAGGATGGGATGAAAAATGCGAGAAATTGTATCAGGAATACAACGAAAGCCAAGATCGAGAAATTGCGGACGATTTACTGCACAGTTTGGATGCAGCCAGACGACAAAAATGGATGGAAACTGTGGAAAAATTAGACTTTAGTAAATCAAGCAGAAAAGCATGGTCTTTACTTAGAAAACTTGGTAGTAGTAGCCTCCCAACTAGAGAAAAAGTACCAATAGCTCCAAACAGAGTGGCCTCCCACTTTGTAGCAACCTCAAGAGCACCTAAAGATTGTGATCACACCAGCAAAGTCAAACAAGAACCTAAAGTACTAAAGTCTGCATGCCCGCCTACTTCTGAATATTCTGACGAGTTTACTCCAGAAGAAATTATTTCAGCCATATCAGAAATTAAGTCTGGAAAGGCACCCGGCTCCGATAAAATTGGCTGACGATTGGGACATTGCAGCAAGACATAATAACATGGATATCACAGAAACAATATTAGCGAATGACCTTGCCATTATGGGAGAATACTTTCGCAAATGGAGGCTACGGCCTAATGCAACGAAAACCGAAGTGTGCTGTTTCCATCTGAATAATACCCAAGCCAACAAAAAACTCTCCATCCACTTCGAAAACAGACTGCTCACTTATAACTCAACACCAAAATATCTTGGAGTG